ACTGGTCTAAGTGCATGGGGAAACCCACCCCCTCTAATAATAATAATAATAATAATAATAATAATAGCGTGTTTCATATATTTATCTGATGATGGACCCAGAACTAACCGAAGAAATTTTTTTGGTGTTTCTTTCACTTAAAGGAGGCGATGGAAAATGTTCAGCATGTATATCAGTTTAGTAACATATTCATCAAAACCATTTCAACTTACTTTTATATCATTTTCAGATCTCAAACAACTGGATGGCAAGTAATGTTAGAATTTTGGACTATGGATTCAAGAGAATATATTTTCATTGTGGTTTAATTTCTTCTGTTCTCAGCGAAGACACTTCCAGCAGTTGGTATCTATCGGCCTCCTGCAGCCAGGCGATCAGAAGAACAGATTGCCCCCATAACTGCACAGAGATGCAGTTCACCAGCAGCTGAAACAAAACCTGAAAGAAGAAGGTTAGTTTTTTTTTGTTTGGTTGAAATGGCTGTCGCAGAAAGTGACATGGTGATGAGTGGAGTTCTTTGTCTTCAGCAGGTATCAGGAAGGAGAAAGTTATGTGGTATAAATATTCTCAAATGAGCAGTTGTTGTGGCAGAACATTGACTGTCTCAACTGTTCCTTGTGGTTTGCCACTGGGCTTGAAGGGATTGCATTTGGGAGGTGAATTATGTAAAAAGATGAACATGACTCCCTTACATGTTGACTTTACACAAAGAACTATAGTTCAGAAATTAATTCTTGTGGTAGTGGAAAAGTGACCTCAAAGATACTGATGAGAGCATGAATGAATAATTAAAATTCCAAGTGTTCTCAAGAAAGTGTGGTCTCTTGTTGAACTATAATAACCACAATGTAATGATTCCTGTTTTATGGGCTGTAACACTGTCTGTAGACAGTCACCAACATTTTTGAGGAACCTACTGCTTCTGTTTTTACAGTAGATCAGACTTATACCCTGAAGATGGAGGCAACAGTTTTCTCTGAAATGTTCACTCTAGCATAATCGCAGTGTAATAGCATGAACCTTGTAGTGAACAGGTTAATTTATGATGTAATCTGTTGTTCATTGTAGGCCTGCGAGGCAGCGTCGACCAGACATCCAAGTTTATGTTCCTCGGGCCAAACGTTTGTCAACTAGAGGACAAGACGGAGATGCCTCTTCAACAGCGTCCATATCATTTTGTCAGCAGGTGGGCAGCCGCACACTCTCAGCCCATGGGGACTTATGCTTGAAGACTTCTGCAACATCGCAGAGCTCTGAAAAAGAGCGCAAATCCAGAATGGCAGCAGTTCATTGCAGCAGTGTACCTACAACATTATCAGTAGCTCATTATGGGGACAATATGTCACTGAGGCAAGATTTTGAACAAACACACATGGAAGTCTCAGACTGGGCTAAGAATACAGGCCAGTCTTCAGAATTGAACTGCTTTGTTAGTGATTTGAATTCGGACATGAACGACAGAGAAGTTGACATGGATGTGTGGGGAGTTAGGGCACAGCATTTGTCCTCTGAGGATGTACAATCAGTTTATAGAAAGAATGGTGGGAAACACATGAGAGTGATGGAAAATTCTCAGGTTCAGATTGAGGATGAGGTCGTGGGAAGGAAGTTCATTCGAAGGGATTCTAATAGTTCAGCATTGGAACTGAGTGATAGTAATACTCCAGGTTCTGTTCACACTGAAGATCAGGTTTTTGATGATCATAGTAATATTAAAAATGTTGATAGGATTTTGAAGACTGTGCAACTTCATCAAGGAAAGGATATCTATAGTTCTATACATTCTAGCAGTAACTGTCAGGAATCCAACCTGCAGTCTGTTAGCAAGGAAGAAGAGAGTGACATTGAGCAGTTAATTGATAGTGAAGACTTAAGATCAGGAGATCTCACGGATGATTTTCTAGGTGAAGTTGGTGTTCAGTCAGGTTCTGTACGTAGGAATTCCGAGAGTTCGTCTCCTGGACATAGTAGCCGAGATAGTCCATCGTCGGAAATCGATAATGAAACTCATTCATCAAATTATTACTGTGAAATTAAGAACACAACAAACCGTTTCCAGAGTAAAGTATTAAGCTGTGAACTCAATATCCAAAATCCATCTGAAGGAAACATCTCTCAGGATTCTGGATTTGGTAACAAAAGTCCCGATGTGTCACTAAATTTGGAAGAATCAGATTCAGTGATGAAGACTTCCGATGATAGTGGGGAGTTTCTGAAGTGTTCAGATACACTAGGTGAAAAAATGATTTTTAACAGTAATGACAGTTTTCATGGTAATAAAAATTTAAGCTCAGTAGATGGCAAGAAACATTTTGATGATTCTGAAGAGAGATTGTGCACCAGGAAAGATCTCGTTAGCAACGATTGTCATAAAAAGGATGAGAATGAAGAGTATCGAGTGCAAGAAAAGCCAAATAGGAAAAACAGGAGGATAATCAGTGGTAATGTCATATCAGATGTGTTGATTATCTCAGATCCTGATCCAGTGGCAGACATAACTCCAACATCACAGATTGGTTCCAGTTCAGAGAACTCTTTGTCACCAAATGGTATCGTTAATAAAAAGAAGAAAGTGCGACAGAAAGGAGTTGTCACTGTGGAAAAATCAGGGCCTTCCTTAAGAGAGCATTCAGCTGATAAACAGAAGTCATGTCCATCGCCTGTGAAATTGAATCCAGAGGAATGCACATGGGATATGATGTTTGACGATAATGGGGAATGCCTTGATCCAAAACTGATGGAAGAAGTAAGTAGTCTCTGTCTCTTGTGTTCGATTAACCCTTAGGTGACGAACGGCATTTAAAGTAAACCTTACTGGGTGGATGGAGGATATTTAAATTTTCTTACCAGAAATGCACAACTTTTATAAATTCATTGTAAAAGCAAAGAAAATTAGAATTTCAAAGCAAAAAATTATCGTCATATTCAGAAAAGAAAGTAGTTTTAGATTTTATAAACAGCACAGCAATATTTCAGTGTTTTCGTCTGAAGATCACAATTGTTTTTTTGAAAAACAGCTTAAAAATTTAGAAATACAGAATTTAAAACCGGAAACAAACACTGTGCTCTGTATAAAACATAACTTTTCTATTAAATACTCTACTTTTAATTAATCATGCAGAATTACCTTAGAAATTAAGTTGTGTGTGATAGGCTTCAAAACATCTGTCCACACAAAGCCCGACATCACAATCCTGACAGTGAAATCTCGAGTCACTCCTCCGTCCATGTTTGCTGCATACCACACACCTCCGTGGCATTGATTTCTTTCCAGAAAGAGCAACCCTTTGACTGAGATGTCTTTCATGTAACCTTGGTATGACATTTTGTTCTGCCCAACCATTTTGCACTTTCCTCTCTGTATTGGTGAACTGTTATGGACTGGCATATGCACAAGTACGTATGTGTGTAGGAACAATAATCACGACTCTAAACACAGCCTGAATATATTTCCTCTGGACAGGTTGTATAGACATTTTAGCAAACATAGGCTTCAAAGACCGTACATGTATTTATGTCAAAAGTTACAACTACATTTCATGTACAATGCTAAGTAATTCAATTTTCGATAGAAAACACACGTTCTGCAATCGAAGTCAGAATTATATTGCGTGTGATGCCGCGTATATGTGGCAGTCGGCGATGTTTAAATACCCAGCCGTGCCGCATATAAGCGGCGATCGTCACGAAAGGGTTAAACATTTGCTGCTGTGAGGTGTAATGGTATATGTGTCAGAAATTATAGCCAATGCTGTGGAAATTTTTTTAACTTCTGGTTTTCTCAAATTGTACTCAGCTTGGAATGCATAGTTTTTTTATTATTTTTTTTATTGCTAGTGGGGTGGGACTAAGTCCCTTGTACTGCAGCCACTTCTGACCTGTCATACCAGCCCCAGATGTTATGTGAGGGTGATTGTGGAGCAATTGGGGGAATGAAGATTGGCAAGGGAAACCAAAGTACTCCGAGAAAACCTTCCCCAGTGCCACTTTGTCTACCACAAATCCCACTTGACCAGACCCGGGATCGAACCCGGGCTGCCGCGGTGGGAAGGAACGCATAGTTGGTTGGGGCAGTATGCTATAAGCTGGAAGGTCGTGGGTTTGATTCCTGATGTCGTTGGATTTTTCAGTTGACCTAATCCTTCCAGCTGCAGTATGGCCCTGGGGTTGACTGAGCCTCTAACAGAAATGAGTACCAGGAATCTTGGGGTGTAAGGGGCGGCCGGCGCGTAAGCCTGACAACCTTACTGCCATCTGTGAGCTGATTGTCTAGAAAAATGTGGGAGCCTCGACATCTCGTAACTCTGTGGCCCTTCACAGCCTGTTACCATGATAGCTTTACCTTTTACATTTCTCAGCCCAGAACTATGCATAATTGGTGTTTTTCTGAATGAAATCTGACATCAGACCTGGTCAGGTTGGGTACTCTTACAGTATTAAAAAACATTGTTTGCTGTATGTGAATATAATTCATTCATAGATAGTCTTCGAGTTTTCAAAATTCATGTCATAGCATCTTCATGTGTTTGTACTACTGTTGGTAATGGAGGAAATTTGTGTTTATTGCAGCTTACAAATTCTGTTGGGTCAGTAACAATCGAAAAGCCCCCATCAGATTATCGCAGCTACCAAAGCCGTGTCGAGTTGATAATGAGTGGAGCTGCTGATGACGAGTTTTCTCATGTGCTGGAGATCTACAGCTTTCCTGCTGAATTTAAAACACATGACCTATATGCTGTGTTCTCCCCCTACATGAAAGGAGGTTTCGAGATTAAATGGGTTGATGATACACATGCGCTGGGTGTGTTCAGCAGTGCTCTTGTTGGTAAGTTTGATGTGGAGGTGGATGAATTTTGTTTACAGCTAAGACTGTTTGAAAGTCCAGTGTTATCTGATCCACTCCCCTTTGACACTATAGACCCAATTTGAGCCTTGGCCTAACTCCATGAAACTCCCCATTTCACTTCGGTTTACTAGATCTTAGACATTTTGTAGGACTCCTTGGGCGGGTGATCAGCTCGTTGCAAGGCCTCTACCTGTACACAAACACTAAATATCCATGCCCTGAGTGAGATTTGAACCCACAATTATTTAACATAATCATAGTGACCAGAAAGATGGTATGGATAGTTCCGTATGTTCATTGAAAGTTATTAAACGTGTACATCTTTTCAGTGTCTGGAGAAATGTTGGAAGGAAAAGATCCCAAAGAATTGAAAAATTGTTCATGTCATACTATAAAGTCAAACAGAGACATGGGTGTGAAGATTCCCATCTTCTGGGATGTGACATGATGTATCTATTTTTGATTTAACAATGTTGTCGGTAGCTCAGACTATGTAGCCACGAATGATAGGATGAATAGTGAATAATGATTTGGGAAGGGACTGAGGAAAACCACAGAAATTCTCAGTCAGGATAGCAGGTCTCTGGGCTGAGATTGAAACCTGAGATCTCCCAAATACAAAAGAGGAGTACTGACCACTCAACTGTTTTGTTCGCTTTGGGTGGTTGCGAATGTTTTGTGAGATAAATTACCTAGGATTGAACACGTGGCAGCAGATGGAATTACTTGATATAAGAATTGCACTTCACTAACATGAATTAGGATTAATGAAGAATGTAACCTTGTTTTATGTTGGATTTGAGATTCTCACAGAAGTGTCAATGATCGGTACAGTCCTCTGAATTGTAACTGCTTATGTCAGAGACAGCCTGACGTTACGGAGTAAGATATTGCCTTGATCTTCAGGGTTGAAGAGTGAATGAAGCAAGAAACCAGCATAAGTAGGTGGTGGCTTGTTGGTTTCTTGCTTGACTTACTCCTTGATGTTGTGGCATATTCCTTCAAAATGTTGGCTTCCCTACAAACCGTAAGGCGTTATAACCCAGAAGACTTCACTCTTAGTCATGTTAATTGTTAAATGTTAATTTAACATGTTAAATTGTTAATTGTTAATGTTAAATTCCAAAAGTAAGGTCTCCTATGTTTGAAAATATAAAATAAACATTTATTTTCAATTTTGGATACATCAGTTGAATCTTGAACATGTACTCATTTCTCTACATAATCGCCATTTCGGTCGATGCATTTTTGTAGGCGCAGTGGCAGTTTTTGTATGCCCATGTCATACCAGTTCACCTCCATGCTGTTCAGGAAACTTCGAACCTCAGCTTTCACCTCATCGTCGTTGTTGAAGCGCTTTCCAGACAAATGTTCTTTCAACTTTGGAAAGAGATGGTAGTCACTGGGCGCCAAGTCCGGACTATAGGGTGGATGGGTGATGATGTTCCATCCAAACTGTTGCAGTTGAGCGACGGTTTGTCGGGCAGCATGGGGGCGAGCGTTATCGTGGAGAATGCTTACGCCCTTGCTCAACATCCCTCTTCTCCGGTTCTGAATCGCCCGCCTGAGTTTTCTCAGTGTCTCACAATATCTCTCAGCGTTTATTGTGGTCCCAGTTTCCATAAAGTCAACCAACAATACCCCGTTTCGATCCCAAAACACAGTTGCCATGACTTTACCGGCAGACTGTGTTTGCTTGAATTTTCGAGGCTTAGGCGAAGAGGAATGCCGCCACTGACGTGATTGTTGTTTTGTCTCAGGTGTGAAGTGGTACGCCCAGGTTTCGTCGCCTGTGACAATTGAATTCAAGAAGTTGTCCTTTTCGTCAGCATAGCGGCGAAGAAATTCACGGGAAGAGTCAACTCTCTGCCGTTTGTGGTCTTCCGTGAGCATTCGCGGGACCCATCTTGCGCACACCTTCCGATAATTCAACTTCTCTGTCAAAACCCGATAAATGGTGGTTCGGGAAACCTCGGGAACCGAAATGCAGAGATCATCGAGTGTGATGCGCCTATCCTGACGCATGACTCGCTCAATCTTCGCGACTGTCTCGTCAGAAATTGACGGTCTCCCAGTTCTTTTTTCGTCGTGTATTGCAGTACGACCAGATTCAAACTCCCTACACCACTTGCGGACGTTCTTTATGTCCATGCACGACTCGCCATACACTTCCACCAATTGACGATGAATTTCAATTGGTTTAGTCCCTTTTGCGTTCAAAAACCGAATAACTGCGCGAATCTCACACTTCGCGGTTTTAGTAATCGGGAGCTCCATTTCTAACGGCAACCGTGCCAAGACTGAGCGTCCTAGCTACGTGCGCGCATGCTTGGTGGTATTGGGGGGAGTGGGGGAAGCAACGAATGCAACAGGGTTGCCAACAGCCGCACGAAAAATTACCCAGCGCTTTGGAGACCTTACTTTTGGAATCAGCTATGTTTATATGTTTATGTTATATGTATATGAATGTTTATATGTGAGTTTTTACACTGCAAAAATGCCACATATGTTTATTCTTGCAGCTGCTGAAGTTCTGGCAACAGATCATCCTTTTGTTAAAACACGACCTCTGCATGAAGCGACTCCTGAGTCTCGGATGAAAGCTCGTAGATCAGCAGAGTTTCTGCAGCCATATCGTGCCCGGCCAGAGACATGTGCTGCTCTTGCACGCAGACTTGTTACTGGCGCTCTTGGTGTGCGGCTTAACACAACACGTGAAGAGCGAGAAGCAGAGCGCAAACTCCTCAGAGAAGCGAGAGGTAATGTCTGTTTTGCACCCTTAGGAATCCAAGTTAAAGTTTCCCTCTCATTTAGTTTTATGCTTATTTTGGTGTATGTCTTCCACAGATGTTAAGTGAAGAAGGGTACTGGATGGAGGTAAGTGGTCAATTTCACGCCCCAGCCACTTTACCTCCAGGGAAAGGGCCCCTAGTACTCATAGGGCAGGAGGCTGGGTGGGTCCCAGAGTTGGACTGGATGAGGCAGAAAAGAGAAAAATCTGTTGCCTCTACCAGTAATCTTTGTCTGTCCAGCCTGTGGTGAATAGAAAATTTCTTGCTCATGCTGGGAATCAAACCCCAGTTCCTTGGTCATCCAGTCTATAGCCTAGTCACTACACTGACTGAGCTATTCCATTTCCACAAGAAAGAAGGTAACTAATGCATTTACTTTTCTTTTACTTTGCAGAGAAGAAAAAATTAGCGGCAAGACAGAGAGATCAAGCATGGGAAGGTACACTGGGTGAGAAGTGAGCAATTTGACTGACCATGAGAAGTATTTATATGCACCATACAATATGTTATAATATTACAGTAATTTTATAATTGTTATGTAGTATGAGTAATTTGTATTGTTTACATATATACTAAACAGATTTTATTATTGTGATCCTACAATTCAACATGAACTGTTCTATGTCAATCATGTTTTGTTTCAATTATAATTTCTTTTAAATTTTATTTTGGAAGAATCATTGAATAGTGATGTCTTTTGACATTTCTGACACTTTTCTAACTTGTTGAAATGAAGTTTGTATTTTCTTGTGCCTGATATTTTAGTGATTGATAACTAAATCATTTTATTTGGTATGTCCTGTTGGTGACAAATTACAGTTGTCCCTGTACGTAGGTCAGTCAAAAAGTTCCCGGAATTCCCCTGCAGATGGAGAATGAGCAATAAGATAGTGCACACACTGTTGTGGGAAGCTCAACGTGTCTGCTCGCAGGTGCAGCAGGTCTGGACAGGTTTCAGTGTGCAATGTCGTTACTGTTCTGTTTGATTTAGATGTGAGTGTTGGTCATTCGGCACAGTGTTACAGTTCGAACAGCGTGCGAACATCAAGTTCATGTGCAAATTGGGAAAATCTGCTTCACAGTCGCTATTGGGCCTGCAGGAAGTTTATGGTGATACTGCACTAAAGAAATCCGCAGTTTACAACTGGTTACCCAGTTTAAGAATGGGCAGGAGATGTTAGGGGATGACCAGTGCAGCAGGAGACCTTTGACATCCAGAACTGAAGAAATGATTGGAAAGTGCAACTGATTTGATGTGATCGAAGAATGACCATCACAGAGTTGGAGAAAGAAGTTGGTACTGTTACTGGCCATTTCTACATGCAAGTTTCACAGAGGTTGCGCAATGCGGTTCGGAGGAAGCGGCGTGACAGGTGGCAGGGACAGCCGTTTCTGCATCACGATAACACACCGAGCCACACATCGCTTGTCGTGCAGCAATTCCTTGCCAAGAAAAACATTCCTGTCATCGCTCAACAACCGTACTCTCCGGATCTCGCTCTGAGTGACTTTTGGCTGTTCCCTACTCTGAAAATTGGCCTCAAGGGGACATGTTTCCCAAGCATTGAGGACATCAAATCGAATGCAATGGCTGAGCTCCAGAAGATTCCAAAAGAAGCCTTCCACCACAGCTTCCAACAATGGCAGGATCAATGGAGCATGTGTGTGTGTGCGTGCAAGGGTCCTACTTTGAAGGTGATTAAGTAAGCATTGCCATATGTCCTACCATTAGAGTGCTGTACCACCATTCCGGGAACTTTTTGACTGACCCTCCTACTTAATTATCACACCATGAAGATGTGTATAACAGTAAAAGACACAGGCATTCAGCAGAATGTAGAATTTTGTTGCATTAAATTTTATTTTTTTTTTAATTTGGCATCTGAAAATAAAGATTTAATCTTTCCACAAGTAAAGCTTTGCTACAGAAACCTACTGTTTTATAGAGATCTAATAAACATTTCTTGAACATTGTGTAGGAAAAGTTTTGATAGTGCCAACAGGAAATAATATAGTTTTATTCTTATCTGTTCATAACATCCAGCAGCAGTAGTGAGTGCCCAGCTGTGAAGTAATTGTGTTGTTCAGGTGTTGATGTTTCTGTGATCTAATTTTTATATTTGAGGATCAACATTTTAATTCTTTGTTACATGTGTGTCAAGTGAAAAAAAGTTTGATAAATGTTATGTTTATTTTAGTGTATAATTATTAGTATTATTATGGCTAGTGCAAAATATTTACAGTTGTAAATAATATTTGATTAAATTTAATTTATCCTTTTTTGTCTTGTTTTGATGTCAGTTGATAAGTGTTCTGTGACACTCAGTCCTGAGCCAAGGTTCTATGTGACACATTGGACTTATTTTTCAAGGGAGGTAAAAGATTTTAATAAAATGATATAAAATTAAAATTCTGTTAGGTAATAGTCAATGCATGAAAACACAGATTTAGAACTTAGTTGAGTGGTGAATCTACCCACATCTCTGGCCTCATATACATGAAGTTGAGAAAGAAATGCTGTGTAAGGTACACAGTGTATGCAACTGACTATAATGAAAACATAGCTCTTTTATAGAATGGACAAGATAAAAACATTTTTGTTTCATATTGCTCAACTTTCACTTGTCTGGGGGTGAACAAGTAATGAGCCTTAGGCATTTGACACCAAGTCTTCAGCATCTCCGATATCTGAACCATTAGGTATCGGATTCTCCATTGTAACAAGAAGATTTTGATTTCTCTGTTCAGCAGGTTGATTTAATCCTTCTGCTATTTTGTCTGAGGTTGGCCAATTACTGATGCTTTGTCTAGAATCTAGAAATGAATAGCAAACAATGTAGACCTTGATTGTTTGCTATTCATTTCTTTGCCGTGAAACGCTGCAGACTGCTAAAAATGGTTGGGCTGACAGGTAACCAAACAGTAGAGTTGTTGGATGGGAACGTGTTAACTAGGAATGCAATACAAAAAAAGAAACCCCTGGTTTTAGTACGGAAGCAAATTATACCGACTGAGTGACTGCCACTTGTCGGCGAAGTTAGTGCCAACTTTAGCAGATAGAGGGTGTCGCGTGGTCAGCGCAACGAATCCCCGCGGCAGTTAATTTTGGTTTTCTAGACTGGAACTAGCAGTATAATATTCCTTTTAACTTTCGGACCCTTTATGTAATGTTCCCAAGCACTGGAAATAGGAAATGCATCAGACTAATGTTTCATGGCCACAATAAGTTTTGTTTAAATATATCTTTATTATATAGGATTTGTCATTTTCACAGCAGTGATTAAGAAGAGTTCAGTCTTTTTGGAGATAATGTCATGTAGCCTCCACCTTCAGAGTTGAGGAGCAATCCAAGGCAAGAATCCAGCATGAAATGGGTAACAAGCCATATCTAGTGAGAAAGTTGTACTTCATAGTATGATCATCTGGGTTGACACTATGTAATCTTGTAGGGGGTAACAATGTATTGGAGGAACATACTGCCTTCCTCTAATCCAAGGGTCTCCAAACTACGGCCCGCGAAAGAATTGTGCAGAAATGTGCCAATTGAACTAATTTTCCAATGAGTACTGGTAAAAAAAATACTTGTTCAGAGATTTCAAATTTATTAATTAAGATTGTGTTTAAAATATATTGATATTCCATATTATGTTAATAATATTATTCACAATTTTACTAATTCTGGACCATATACTATGCGGTATTTCTTTGTACTTGTTCGGCCTCGATCGGCAGTGTCACTTTGTGGCAATGTAGGTAGCGCGAGCAGTTTGTTACTAGCTGTCTTGTGCACAAGACTTCTTGCAGTTGTGCAGTATAATTGTAACTGATCATCATCACCTCAATTTAATCAGATTTTAAGAATGCAAAAGTGCAGTATAATTGTAACTGATCATCATCACCTCAATTTAATCAGATTTTAAGAATGCAAAAAGAGTTCTATCATTCACATTAATTGTTTTATTATAATTTGTGATGAAAATATGAGCATTTGCTGCTACTGCCTGTTGTCATTAATATACGATAATTTATTCTCACGTACTTTGTATTTAGTTTATGAAATTCTGTGCTTTCTATAAAACTCATATACCCAGAGTTATTGATTTCTCATTTTATCTGGCCCGTTGAAAGTGCTTAATTACCTAATGTGGCCCGCGTTTCGAAAAGTTTGGAGACCCCTGCTCTAATCTAATACACTGCATATCTTTCCTAATTGAGCAGTAGGCCTTTTTTGAAGTCTTATAAATAGCTGACTCTCATTTCTCTCAGGTATGTAGTAAGTATGTCTTGACCTTAACTGGATTAATCAGTAGTTTATTGTAGGATCTGAGGTTTTCATGGCGGTGACTGAAGAATGCTGTCTTCTGGGATGTGGTGCTGTGTAGATCTTGTGTTGGTAGCCACTTGCTCACAATAGTTCCTCGCTTATGGAATTTTGTAGTTGGTTGAGGCACTATGCTACAAGCTGGAAGGTGGCAGGTTCAAGCCCTGATGAGGTCATTGAATTTTTTTCAATTGACCTAATCCTTCCAGCCACACTATGGCCCTGGAGTAGATTCAGCCTCTAACAGAAATGAGTACCAGGAATCTTCTTGGGGGGGTAAAGGGCAGCTGGCGCATAAGGCTGATAACCTTACTGCCATCTATGAGCTGATTGTCTAGAAAATGTGGGAACCTCAACATCTCACAACCCTATGGGCCTTCACGGCCTGTTACAGGGATACATTTGGAAAAAAAAGATGGAGGTGATGCATTCCTCCGAAACGTCAGTTTACAGAAGATCTACTTGGCGCCACATCCCAGAAGATTGCATTCTTCAGTAGTTGATTGGTTACTTCATAATGTATAATGAACATCCACAATAACAGCTACAGTAGTTTTGTCTGTCCTTGTACTATCCGTGTCAGTTTTCACGAGTTTTCACTCATGTGGGCTGGTGTGTGTTCCTGTCTGAGAAACTGTGGAGCTCCGTGTCACTTTCCTGTTACCTGGATACATGTTGCGTGGTACACGTGCGCAGTAGAACTGGGGAATGTAAGGGTCAGGAAACTGATGCAGGCAATATGAAGATGTAGAATGGTAAGATTGTATATGTAAGTTTCTACATTTACTGTAATGTTTTACTTCCTGCTTGGATTACTTGCACTGGAATTTGGTTAGTATCTGCTGATTTATATATGTTCAACTTCCCAAAAACAGTATTGACGTTCTCACAGCAGTTACCCTGCAGATTACAGTCTTCTGGGATGACACTGTATAGTCTGATACATCATTACTGGTGTTTTGGAGGAATCTTCTGCCTCGATCTTCAAGGTAGAAGACTTAAGCTAGATGTGAAGAAAGTGCTGTGAACTTAGTGTGAAGGAGGATCCAGAATGTGTCTACTTTCCCTGCGCTTTTCCATCTGTTTCCCGAAGCCACAAACTATTCGAGATTTTAACCTGGTGCCATTCGTCAAGTTTACTAGACAGGTAAATAAATTCATTATTCAGTAATTCCTTTCAGTTATTTATTAATCTTTTTTAATCATAACAGCAGCATCTTATATATATATGTGTGTGTGTGTGTTTTATAGAAAGAATATCTGTTCAGCGGCATTTACTTTGCTTAATGTATTAGTAACCAACATCCACAAATGTCCAAACATGTGTAACAGTTGTTGGATTTGAGGTTCTCACAGCTGTGACTGAAGAGGAGTGTTCTGGACTGCAACATCATGTACTTAGTCCAGTAACAGTCCTCTGAACTGTAGTGGACTTCTACAGAAACACACAGTACTGCAGTCCACATGATCATACCCTTCATGTGTAGTTACATTTCATTAGAGTTGCAAGCTAGGAAGAGGACTGCTGGTCTCTGATTTTAATGTTATGAATTCCTTTGAAATATGATGTGACATTTGGAGACCCATCATTTTAACGTAACTACTTTCTGTTTACTGCAAATGGAAGATTTGTGGCACTATACAGAAAGTTGCAATATAGTTCCCAGGTTTCATAAATCATGTAAATTAGATAAGGAAAGACTTATTGGTACGTGCGCTCACAGACACGAATGAAAAGAGCGTAAGAATATGTACAGTGAAATCCTCATTTGAATTTGTCTGTTATATGAACAGATATTTAACATTAAAATAAAAAGTAAAGTAAATGTATCCCCTTAACAGGCTGTGGAGGTCCATAGGGTTGTGAGATGTTGAGGCTCCCATATTTTCTAGACCATCAGCTCTACGCGCCGGCCGCCCTGTACCCCAAAGAATATTCCTGGTACTCATTTCTGTTAGAGGATGAGTCAACCCCAGGGCCATAGTGCGGCTGGAAGGATTAGGTCAATTGGAAAAATCTACCTCATCAGGATTCGATCCCGCGACCTTCCAGCTTGTAGCATAATGCCTCAACCAACTTCGCTATAAGGAACACTAATTATATAATGTAAGTACATTCTGAAGAACACATCCCTTCTGTAGTTAGAGTTGCACAGTTTTAAGACCTTTATTTGGAAATGGAATAGGCAAAATAGCCAAATCCATGAAGATGATATGTAGTGCGTTGCCAAAGCCCAAACACAATTCATAGTTCTCATGTCTATTTCTTTTCTTTCCTCACGCATAAGATGTGTGTGTAGAATTATAGACATTATTAATACTCACATTCATAAAGGGGTATGTATTTTCCGAGATTATAAGGATGTTTGTAAGGGAAATCATGAAAAATAAGTAATGAATATTTCCATTATTTCAAATGTGTTCTGGCTTTTGCCCCAAATGTATGCAGGGAAACCCTCCCTTCTTGATTCAAGAAATTTCTAAGTTTAGTGTTCAAATTCTCTGGTCACCAAATAAACCTTAAATGTGGGTTTCACTGTATTAGAAACACATTCAAGATGAAAACTGTGCCACATTAAGTGATTGCCAGGATACTCATATTTTTAATATTTTTGTGTACAAGTGATTTTAGCCATTCAGTTTTTAAATAAGTGTCTGTTCATCAATAACTAGTTAGGTTCACAGAAGAGTTATTGCTCTGTTGTATCAACACCTCAAATCTGGTAGTCATTCATCTGTGAACTATGAACCTTAAATGGTGATGTGAGAACCATACAGTTTCAATACTGAGACACAGTTACTGTGCATTGCTGGCAGTGTTGGACTTCAGTTTCTTGTGTCTACCACTTTCCACCCTTTTTCTTCTTCTTCTGCTGAACTTTACGCTGTTGCTGTCTTGGACCAGTGCTTTCTGGTTGGACTGGACTGTTAGGATTGGGAGAGGCCTTTGACTGTTGACGTTGCATCTTTGTTATGTCACTGAAAAGTAAACACATTTATGTCAGATCCTCAGAGACTTTTATATATAAACCTAACTGCTAGTGTGTCGAGAACCAGCAAGGCTGTCAGTGTAGTAACTAGATTACGAGGTGATGACTTGAGGACTAGAGTTCTAATCTTAGGAGCTGGCATAGATTTTATTCTTAACCATTGTACCCATACTGTCCCTGGGCCTACACAGCCCCCCCCCATACAACGAGTAGCTGTGCCAAAGTGGCTGCGACTTGAAGCTGACCTTCACCTCCATCTAGTGCAACAATGGATCTCCATACAACAGTGTTTCATTACACACAGGGATAACTTTACCTTCACTTTGCTAGTCAGTCCGAGTTACACTTTTTGATGTTCATAAATTAGTATGGTTCTTTGGTGATTACAATCTTATATGGCATTCTTTTTCCTCTAGTAAGGATGTGCAGATAACATTCTTCAGGTTGAGTTTAACACCATAACAAATTTATAGTTTACAGACAAATGTAAACAAGACCTTCCTTCACTGATGTCATTTCTAATGATGTTGTCAAGGGCACTGATTTTAATTCCCTGTACAACAAAGTCAAAACAGTAACACACAACTTGAAACTGGCCCTCCAGCCCATATCATGTTCCTGAAAGCCTGTGCAATGTCTCAATATGAGAGGCCCCATAAAGAAAATCTGCTGAGCCTTATTATGGTTTGGTCATTTAGGAATTACAGAGAACTAATTTTGACCTGTGTCATAATTACTCCACTGGTAATGAAATCTCAGTAGTTTTCTGCCTATATATTTCTGTTAGCCATCTGATGTGCAACATGCTTTTTAAACACTTTCAAAAGTTTTAAATGTTAAAATCTCTTCTGCATCACTGGTGTATGCATACTACATGTTTCGACCAACATTGGTCATCTTCAAGTGTCTGAAATTGTTGATGAAACTGCTGTGCTTCTGTCCATAAGTTCAAGTTCTGGGATATGCCTTCGTCTATGCGCCCACGTGTCCTATGATGATGGGTAGTCCCTTATTGTGTTGTATGCAGTTGTTATGAATAAGTAAGTGATGTGCAACAGGACGCTATAATATAATATTATTTTCTGCATAGATTATTTGTGAATCATGTTGTTAGTACTTACTATTGGTCACTAATGCCAGTTGCTGCTCCCTGGGTACCCTTTCCAACGTCTTTGTTGGTGCGACGGTCCTTCTTCCTACGGTAACCTGTCCTCTCATGTCTTGGTAACCAACGTTCTGGATCAGGTGTTACATTTGGGTCATAATTCTTGGGTAACTTGCCCTTTCGTTTACGTTTTGCTTTCTTCTTTTGAATTAATTCATTGCCTGGTGTTCTGCAAGAATATAATAGACAAATATTTGAACTTATATTTTAAGTTACACATTAGATACAGAATGCAGACTTTGGTCTAAATTTTGCATTTCAAACATGTCCCATGATCTGTGTACAGTCTTTGCTGGATAATTGTTTCTAAAGTGGGAACTTTCAATACATATTGCTTTTTTCAAGTGGGTTGTTTTAGACACTGCCAATAACTAGACTACATGGTATCAAGTGGTAGGATGATAGACTAATTGGAAAGGTTTTGGAAGGAAAGAGCTGTGGCCTAACTGAGGAACATCATGAGAAACCTCAGTTAGGATAGCTGGTGTCCTGGCTGAGATTGAAACTGAATAGAATTTAGGGTTGCAGGATGCATAATCAACATATAGATTTAGAAAGGCAGTGTGGCTAGCTCAAGAAGAATTTTGGTATCGGTTGATATAAATGCTCAAGTCAAACCCTGACGAACCATTTATATCATTCTATTGCTGGAGCTAGATTCAGATCAGTGCCGTCATATACGTCTTTGCAGCCCAACAGCGTCGGACCACTACTGCTCTCTACAAGTATAACTATCAATAGCTCACCCTGGCTTTGAGCTAGGAGAAGGCTCCACTTTGGCCACAGTCTTCTTGATAACCTTGGGTCCCATCATCCAGCTGGACGTTTCTAAGGCATCCACATCTGTCGCCTGAGTGAAGTCCAGTTGTGGCAGCTGTTTGCTGAGGGCTTGGGCTTTTTTAGGATCAAACTGCAAAAAGGAGGGAAAAAAGAACATTTCTCCCACATTTTGCGTGTGGTAGCATGGTTGAGGCACTACGCTACAAGCTGGAAGTTCGGAAGTTCAAGTCCCAATGAGGTGGATTTTTCCAATTTACCTAATCCTTCCAGCCACACTATGGCCCTGGGGTCAAATCAGTCTCTAACAGAAATGAGTACCAGGAATCTTCCTGGGGGTAAAGGGCGGCCTGCTGGTGCGTAAGTCTGACAACCTTACCGCCACCTGTGAGCCGACTGTATAGAGAAAATGTGGGAGCTTCGACATCTCACAACCTTATGGGCCTTCATGGACTGTTACAGGGAGAGCTTTAGTTTCCACATTTCACTGTATACAGCCACTGTGAATAGAATGATTTGTTGTTGATTTCCCTTGAAAAGTTTGCGGAGATATTAACCTTGTTTTATCCACATGTAACAACTCAGGAACCACTTAACGGATATTTATGAAACTTGATACTCTTTTGTTCTACTAAAATTTGTAGGCACATGCAAGTTTTGGTTAAAATTGGGCAATAATAACAGATACTTTATATGAAGACCTACTCACGTTTCTGCGTGCATCTCGATTGTAACTCGGTAAATATTTAATAGGGTGAAAAATGCTTAAAACAACAGCATAAAGAAAAATTAAACATACATTTATGCCCAATATGCAAGTCTTAATGGTTTTTGATGTAATTAAATACGAGGGAGTGAACATGTCAGGACTGTCGTGCAATGCATACCTTTCAGAACTTGATCAGTATCAGACCTACATGCCTTAGGAATATTAATACTCACTTGAGCATATGCCACAACCAATTGGGCCAATGTCTTTCTGTCACCTGGGTTGATTCTTAGCAACTCCTCCAGACTCTTGGCAGCCACATCTGGCTCACCCCCTCGCAGGTGGAAGTCCGCTGCCTGGCGCCACAGCGTGCCCAGATCTCCTGTGCTGACCTGTCAACACCACCAGTACTCGATAATCATACAGTCATGCACTTACCCCATTCACGGCATGTTTCCTCTTTCTTCAGCCTACACCCCATTTATTTAATTTATCCTTTCTCTCTGCTTCATTCCCCCCAAGCCCCTCACTCTGCTCTCAAAAACAGGCCCTCTAATGGTCCAGCATTTCCTTACTTTATTTCTCCTGGCTTCCACCGAGTCATTACTGCCCCCATCACTGTGCTCTCGCAAAGTGATGCTTCTTTTAAGGAATATCCCTTACAGCATTCTCCTTACTCCTACTACTTTTTTCCATGGCTGACTTATTCTTCTGACTTCAAGATAGGGCCATTGGGTTCCTCTGAAACACTGCTATCCACCCGACTACACGCTGTAATCTTTGCAGTCAATTAGGTAATGACGCTGCACACGTTCTAGGTGGAAAGTGAACTGGTGAAGACGAGAAGACAGCAGTTATGGTGAGTTTTAATTTACTTGACTAGAATTGCCTAGAGAAGCAGAAGAATTCAATCTCTATATGAAGATAGTGAACTATGGGTCTATTTGGAATGAAGCAGTTGCTATTCAGTATCAGTGAACTTACCTTGTTCTTACGGTACCAATCAACAGCATCTTTAAGAACCTTGGAGGCACTGTCACGGCTTCCATCTGCTAAATAAAGTGTAACTAATGCACTAATGATGCCCGGTTTGAATGTGGCTTCACCTAAATTTTGTAGAATCTGACAAGCCTCTTTCCTGTCACCCTGAAAACAAAACAAAAAAGTGTATATGTAAAATAATTTGAAAGGTATTATGTTAAGAAAAGTGTGTATCTGTCACAGCCTAGATATTCTCATGGTGATATCTGTGAACATTACTGTATTCTGAGAAGTGATGTCTTACAGGCTGCTAGATATTTATTTACCCGACTACACAGCATCATATCCCAGAATGCTGTAATCTTTGTAGTCACTACCATGAGAAAATCTCAGAAAAATTTTGTAGCGTAAAATGCAGAAACGCCTAAACTATTTTTACTGAAAATATTTCTAATCAGGTAGAAATCTAGTTCCACTCGATTTACCTATGTAATAATTATATCACAAAGCAAAAGGCGAATACAATGAAACCCCCTGCTTTTGGGATCAGTGGCCATGTACATTAAACTGAGGAAAATCTTAAATGGAGCAAATTTAACAGTAAAAGTAAAAGTAAGTAAAGTAAAGGTATCCCTGTAACAGGCCGTGGAGGCCCGTATGGTTGTGAGATGTTGAGGTTCCCACATTTTCTAGACCATCGGCTCACAGATGGCGGTGAGGTTGTCAGCCTACATGCCAGCCGCCCTTTAACCCCAAGAATATTCCTGGTACTCATTTCTATTAGAGGCTGAGTCGACCCCAGGGCCATAGTGCAGCTGTAAGGATTACATCAACTGAAAAAAAATCCAATGACCTCATCGGGACTTGAACCCACGACCTTCCGGCTTGTAGCATAGTGCCTCAACGAACTACGCTATGGCATGCCCCCCCCCCCAAATTTAACAGTGACAGTATAAACATGGGATCACTGAAATTGACCATAAATTGAGGAAAATTAATTGGGGGGGGGGGCTCACTGGAGAAGTAAAAAACCAGAATGTCACAGACGAGGTAAAGGTCTGTGATCTGAAGCATTCATGATGGCTGTGTGTAGTATCATCTCATGTGATATGGAATTAGTATCTGATATCTTGCAGACAGTTTCCATGTTTACATGATGAAGGAAACATTGGACACCAATTCCATACTGACTGAATGCCTGAGAAGACTTCAGTGAGACCTCAAGATCCTCAGAGGCTCCAGTACAGCCAAGACATCAATGAGATTTAAGAAAAAGGATTTCCAGAAGTCAACACAAAACAAAAATGGCAATAACTTCTGACTGCTGGGCAACAACAACAGTAGTGAATCTGTCATGTGATCACCTCAGCTAGCAGAAGCTGAGCCGCTGCAAGTTTCATTTCCAGTTTCTTCTCCTGATGTTGCTTTGACTCTTCATCTAAGAGTGCTGCAGCTTCTCTAGCCTTTCCATCCTTTGTGAGTTGGACAGCCCTGATGAGAGCTGCCTCCGCGCCCATGTCGGGGTATGTTACCACGAGGTTCTCACACATCTGCTGACACTGTTCACCCTGGTTGGTGTAGAGGGCAAGCAGACAGTGGTTTAAGGCTATGTACTTGCGTTGGCGCGACGTCAACTTATGTTCCAGTCCCTCCAAAGTGGCGTTCTTCATCTTCTTTTTAGAATCAAATACATTCTGATCCTTGTTGATGACGACCATATTATTACTTGCAATAGCCACTAAGCCGGCATCATTTGGCTTTTGTTTCAAAGCTGCTGTGTAGATGGACTGAGCTTCCTTTTCTCGACCCAGCATCTGAAGGCAGTACGCCAGCTGCACCCTATATAAATGAAAGAATAAGTTTATATATTATTCAGTGACACTGTGTGAACAGTATATATGAATTTATACTCACAGTTAGAATGAATATTTGAGATATAAGGCCATGCCATAACTCAGGCTACCTGCCATAGAAACTTAGGTTCAATTCCTGGTCACTGTGACAGTCATTATGTATGAAGTGGCATTGGAGAAGGGTTTTCTCTCAGCTTTCTCTTTCTAATCACGATCCCACCAATGTTACACACTCACATATCACTGACACTTGAAGTGTGAAATAGCCCTGTCCAGGCAGTGCATTATCATATCCTTGGTATTTAAGTTGGGGGATTCGTAATTTCATTACTAGTTTATCTCTTGAGTCTAAGTTCAATTTAGAATAAAAATGTAACCAATCTGTACTTCAGAGTTTGTATGCAATATTTTTTTTACTTTATCGATTATATAGTCACTGAATTTATTAGTCAGGTAGCTCAGTGGGTATAGTGCCTAGGTTACAGGTCTGAAGGACTGGGGTTCAATTCCCAGCAGAAGCGGAAATTTTTCTTTTTCCTGCTACGTCCAAATCAGTTCACAGGCCCATCCAGCTTCCTGTCCAGGGGATAATGGAGTTTTAATTGGTCGAGGAATGATGCTAACCACTCACCTCCATTAAGGATGTAGTTTAAGAATGCGTGGAGCTATACTTTCACTCTCCCATACCTCTTCATGGCATGGTAATTAAGTACAGCAAAAATTTTCATTCTGTGTTCATTTTAATTTCATTTAAAATAACCCTAATTTTAAATGTAGCTCATTTTTTCTCGTGATTCTGGTCCTCAGACTTTTCTTCTGTTATTTTCAGAAAGTTAATTCCCACAGCTTAAAATCTTTTCATATTTCTTACTTATCCTACTTATTTCTGCTCAATGTTTTTTCCAGTCATTAATTAAAAATATGTCGTGTCATTTCTAGGTTAATTATATTACCATTGGGTATATTGTTGAGGTGTTAAATATACACCTTTACCGTGGACAGCCAGTGGTCTTGGGGATTAGATACAGGACTTCTACACACATGATCACAGGTTCAATTCCTGGCCATATCTGAATGGATGCTTTTATTACTTTTTATTTGCAGATTAAAGTTTTCATATTTGTTGATGTTTAGACTTAAGGAGTTTGGAATCCACATGTTAAGTTATTCTGTTACTGTCTTTCTCACCACCATTTTACCATTGTAGACGGAGGAATGAATGTAATATATGCTTTGTTTTATTCTGGTCCGTCGCACTAACAATATTATAAAAGATAAAACAATTCCATCCAGTGTGACTGGTGATGTTTTTCTTATTTCAATTCTTCATGCCCTTGCATGTTTCGGTCCTTAGAGACCATCATCAGATAAGGACTGAAACATGTAAGGGCATGAAGAATTGAAATAAAAACATCACCAGTCACACTGGATGTAATTGTCTTATCTTTTATAATATATGCCTTTACATCAGAAATGAATTCTTCTTGCTGGGAGGCCAGACGGCTGATATAAAGTGGTGTCTTCTGTTGTTTTAAAATTATTTTACTATTTTTTTTGGGGGGGGGGTTGCTATGATTCTTGTATGTTATTTTACATTCATTAATTTAAGTATAAAATAATGATCTTATAAACAGAATTGTAGCATATACAGTCAAAAGAATTACTGCAATATCACTGTCCCCATTTAGTTTTTATTCTTGGGGTGGGGGTGAAATCGACTCCCTTGGCACTTACGCAGTAAATATTGCACCAGACCAGGATGCTGAGAATTTGTATAGGAAACTGAGGTAATTGGAGAAAACATGCCCCAGTGACACTTTGTCCACCACAACTTCTACATGAACTGACCTGGGATCGAATTCAGGTCTCTACAATGAGAAGCTAGTTACTAACCACCTCATCATCCTCATACTCAACATTAAATTGAGACATTAACTCAGACAGCTCTTTGAATATTTTATTTTGAATGTTATGGAAGTTCTGTCTTAAAGTTATTCCTTTGCAACCCTTGTGTTTCCTCTTTCAGAACCATATTACAGAACTGCGTCCGTCCATCCAGCCCTGTTTAAATTTCAGTCATCCAAGTACCCGATTTTCCTGAAATGTGGTATGAACTGCAAGTTGTCGAAGGGAAATCCATCTTGGTACTTATTTCCCTTGCCAGCAATACCAACATGGCTACCTTGCACTACGCCCATTTCCTTACGATTTATTTAAGGATGATGTCAGCATCTCAGAATATACAGTGTTAGGATGAGTAAGGCATTGGAAAGGATGTTGCTACAGCATTACCCCAACATTTACATAAAGGGACTGAGGAAAAACAAATACTTCAATCAGGAGACTCAGTGTGCTGGTTTCATCCAAGCTGCTCACTGCATTTATCAGAGAAATATGTTGTATGGTGTAAGGAAGTGTAGCATAATATCAGAACTGCGGTTTTCGTTAGGGTGAAGCAGGGAATGGTAAAAGGAAACGGCAGTAGCCGCATGCAGCACTTGACTGGCATTTGAATGGAAACCTTAGTTATGGGAGTTAATACTACTTCCCAAAATACAATTCAGATGTGATAACTATTCATGAAATGAGGATCTACAAAAGAAGGGAGGTCATTGTGGTCTAATTTATGAAATTATACGCCTGCATGGATTGCGCAGATTCTAGAATGCTGATTGGTGTCCTAAATGTAAGTTACATTCTTACAGCTGAAGTAAATTCAAATAAGACAGCTGTTCATCTGACTCACATCTGGAAGGTTTACAGTGTACTAACTTAACTCTGTCCATACTGAGGTTTCCATGCTCTTCTTCAGTCTTTCCAGGCAAAGTAATAAACACACCAGAACAACTGCCTACCTATTTTCATAAATTTATATCATACTTATAATCAATATCTTCATATGCCACTCTACAAAATGAAAAACCAGCTTAATAAATGTCTGAGGACTTCGATAAAACCTCTCATAAACCTTTAGCTTGGTGATCGCTGTCATAAGAATTGTGAGGTAGAATGATGAACAATATGAAACTGCAGAAATCTCAAGAGGTGCATAATCGACCGAGACTGAGTAGTCACACGTTACATACTTGATTATGCCCAGTTCATCTTCGATTTCTTCTTCTGTAGCGTCCTCTTCTAAAGATTCTCGGCAAAGTCTCTCGCTGAGTTTTAATTTCTTCTCAGCCTCCGTGTACTGGTTTTGTCCTACCAGCTGACATGAGCTATTGTATGCTAACTCATACGTATGTTCCCGTAACTGAGGAATCTCTCGATTCTAAAACATTAACAGTTCAGAATGAATTATTGGAAGCCCCTAGTTTCTGAATCCTGCAAAAAGAAATGTTTTATGTTTTGGGCTAAACAATAAGTGACTCAGAAAATCCATTTCTAGCACTGTTTGAAAATGTTGCTCTACTTTGGAACAAATTTAACTCAATCTGTGTAACATCTTTAAAATTATGAACATTAATAGAAGCTGTTTTAACTGTAGTTTGTATTTTTATAATTCAAACTGAGTCTCTTCAGATTCCACATTCCCATGATGGTGATTATGAAGATGCTGTCTTTTCAGATGTGACACCATGCAGTCCGGTAGTTCATTGCCAATGTTTTGAGGGAACCTGTTGCTCTGGGAAGAAGGCAACAGTCTTCTTAATTCAATTTTTGTCTCTTGCAGTGCATTAACTTTCATGTGTCAGTACCTTAACATGAGTGGTCTTACTGTTTATGTCACTTATATAGCTAAGTATATATGTACTGTACCTGGTTTTATACCTGGCCATTCCCAGCAGAATGCATGGTGGATTCAGTTCAGTCCACTAACTGAGATCAGGATTGTATGGAGTGTATGTAATATGCAACCCTCCCACAATGTCACTGCAACCATTACCCTACCACTTCTGGCCACGCTTCTTCCCGCTTGCAACCCAGAGGCTAAGTCTATAAGCACAAGCTGTATTTTGAAGCTTAATTTAATACATGCACAGTTACAAGATATGTGATATAAAAATAAGAAATTTTAGTATATTTTATGATCAAGAACAATATATTTGACTAGTTTCATGTAAAAATGGGAATATACAGTGTGTTCAGTTAACGAGGAAACTTCGCAACACCGCTGACCTGGCCCAGCATTCCTCACAGATTGCTGCTGTAACTGCTGATAGCAGAATGAGTCATTAGCGCTGATAAACGCGCTCAGTTGCAGTTACAGCAGCAATGTGTGAGGAATATTGGGCCCGGTCAGCGGTGTTGCAAAGTTTCCTCCTTGATTGAACATCTTGTATTATGTCACCGTGACACACAACTGCAATTTGGTAAATTAAATAGCATTATATATTATACGCACCGATCCTTCAATACACAGATTTGCTACCACTGCAGTGAGATTAGTTTCTCTCTCGTCCTCATACTCATCAGTGCTGTTCTTAATTATATCTCGGTACACATCAAAACATTCTTCATACCTGAAAAATTACCCTTACAATTAGCTTCAAATTTATGCCGCATTCTACAGAGTAACTCACAGTCTGATAAGACTAGGTTACAAGAAATGAACATACTCCAAAGCCAGTAATTAAATACCTTTCAAGCCGGTACAGGATTTGTGCTTTCAGTTCTTTCAGTTTCAGTGATAAAGAAGCTGCGGTGTTCAGTGTCTTTAGAGCATCCTGCGGCAGGTTTAGCCTATACTGACAGTAAGCTTTTTCAAACACCAATTCCCTGTAAAACAGAGTTATTAAAATGATAAATAATCAACTTAAACTTCACAGTCAGAAGTCTGTCACTTCTACATACATGACATTAACAGGAAATGTACACACAGGGTTACAATTCTGCCATATTCACTCCCTTTCATTTTGATTATCTCAAAAACCATAAGATTTATAGGAAAATTCTATTGCAAATAAAATGTATGTTTCATTTTTCTCTGTAACATTAGTTTGCAATGTTCTTCATTACAATATTTTGTAAGTTACACTTGAGGTGCTTGTAGAATTGCATGTATATATCTCTTTGTAAATTGTCTGAATTTAACCAAAACTTCCATGGGTTGACAAAATTTAGTATATCAAGTTTCATGAAAATCCATTCAGTGGGTCTCAAGTCACATGCAAACAAATACAGCAGAAGTAAAACATCTTTTGCTGCTGCTTGATTCAAATGCCCATCTTCAGTACTGGAACACTGTTCTAAAAAGAAAATTCCCTTAGTTATATACAGAACATTCTGTGACAGGTTTCTGTCAATATGTTTTTGTCAGTACCACCAGGTGGTGATAGGATAGTTCCTTCAAACAGGCCATTGCCATTTCCAACCAAAATCCTCCTATTCACTATTGAAGACCACACCTCATTCAATATTACAAAATATCTGCATCTGAACGGTTGTCATTAGTACACCTAAGAATTAAGCAGCCAGAAAAATTATCAACAGCAGATAATTAAGAAATTCCTGTTTTTGGTCAGATGAGCTAATACTAAATTGTGTTAAATTCTAAAGTTTTCACAGTATGGTGTTTTGGCTTCTTACACATGTAATCTTGTAGATGGATACCAGCATTTCAGGGGAATATACTATCTCAGGGTTACAAACTTCCACTTCTGACGACAGTTGGGCTACAAACATGGCTGGAGACAATCAGTTTTCTGTTTACAAATACAGTGCCGATGTGAGATTCTTGTGACCTAACTGAATAATGACTAATGTACATCCAGGAGATTATCACATTTTTCCTTTTCTCTTCAAGAGCGATGAATGAGGGCATCAGCGTATATAGCGCATATCACTTCAGGTTATTTTGTTACAGATCATGCAAACTATTTGACGGTAACATCACGATAGTGCCAGCTGAATGCTAAGAAATTGGATACTAGGGTCACAGATGTGGGAGAGGTTAAGGAAAGTGGAAACTGGGGATGACACGGCCTTCAATTTTTCTCCAAATTTCAAATAATTCTATAAATAACTTTTAGATCTTATCTATAAAGACGTGTTTGACGTACACATATATATATATATATATACATTAAAATCACTTACGATGACAGTTTTGGTTGATTTAAAATAGCCTTAAGCCCATCCTGGAATCTTGATAACTGTATAAAGCAAACAATCTTGCAGTGAAATGCCTTTTCTTCGTCGGGAAACTGTTGGAGTACTGCAAAAAAAATGAATACTTATAAATTTTAATGTCCTCTCAGTGCAAAACTTAAACATCAACACGTAGCAATCATGTTGTCTCGCACGATCTGATATGAACATATGGCACATACTTCACAGCTATTTCTCAAATTAACTGCACTACAAATCCGTATACGAGCACACAAGTAACCTTACTTTTATTAGCTGTTTTTAAAGCCCTCTCGTATTCTCCATTCTGTCCAAAACGATTTAATTCAACATAAAGAGCACTCAAATTGCTCTCTCTCGTAGTGGCCATATTGGTTACAATGCTACCTGGTGGCGTTTTTCACCCAATCAAAGTCATTGACATAAATGCGTTATTTCGAATGCCATTGGTGCCTTCTCACAACGGACCAGTATACTTGATCCGGGACATTTGATGCGAATTAAATCAGGTGAACTTGGAGGAGTTGTGAACGAAGTGTAAAATCAGTATTGCCTTTATTATTACAATATAGAATAAATCTGTCATAGGAGGTATCAGTAACAACAACGAAATACATACCGATATAAATTTTGACATAACTTTAATATGGAGGAATCGATTTTTGATATATTTGGAACAAAAGTTCAACAACGGCAATTAACCGTCCGACCATCATCTGCGAACTCTTTCGGGACTCTGAAAGGTAAATGAGATGCAATTTAATTTTGTTCTGGTTCTTACAGCTACTTTACTGTTCAGTACAGCCGTATTTTAAATTCAGTTAAAGCTAGATTACCATTCAAAACGTGAATTTTATGTAGAATGTAATGTAGTTTGCAATTTGCAGCACCAGCTTTTATAATGTGTTGCCCTCAGGGTTTAGCCATAGGTGCTAAGAAATTTGGCTGTGTTATGGAAAGACGGTTAATCGTCTCCCCCCCCCCAACCTGGATTTTTTCTAATAACTTGGGCAAAAGATGTGCAGAAAAGAAAATCTAGTGGTTTATAAATAGTTTGTTTCCTCTTGTGTAGAGCAGCAGCTGATTTGATGGACTCTTTTTATGTAAGACCATATCATAGGTAAGTGAGGTAACCAAGCTTTTGTTTCAACTATCAGAGGCATCAGCTATATTATATCATGCCTTTTTGATATGTGTAATTACCTTGGAGTGTGAGATCTGAGTGTGTATGTGTTTCTTGTTGGGGGAAGGGAGAACTGACATTGCTAGTCAGCAGACTTAGTTTACTGGTAAGCATTTCCCCTGTCTTGTAGGCAGTGCAAATCAAACAAGCCCAAGCAGTAAGCCCCTTTTAAAGCACAATAGATCACTGTAGGTCACGGTGCAAGGGCTGAGAAGGCCCACCCCTTATACATTCAAGTCCCTTTTACCTCACACCACTACACACAATGTTAATGTAGTTCTTACATTACACTGCATTACATTTGGCCATTAAGAATGTGGACAGTGTAATTTTATATATCTAAGGAGAAATGTTGTGGGTTTTGTCTTTATATCTGTAGCAGAGCATACACAGTTTTATCTGTGAGGATTAACTGTAGCTGAGAAGGCTGTGGTTAAAGTGTGCATTGGATCAAAACTATCATTGGCCAGTGTGGTATAATAAAAACATATTTAATGTACTATGGTTAGAACTACAGTATATGTTAGTATGTGAAGACTGTCAAAGTCTGCAGACTTGGTTTGAAACAAAATCTTTCTTGACTCAGAATTTTTTTGTCAGTAGGAGGTTATGTATTTGTATAAGCATAGACAGGGGTCATGCAGTAGCGTAGTTGGTTGAGCCACCATGCTACAAGCCAGATGGTTGCACGTTACCCCTCTTTTCTATATTTGGATTAGTATGGTAATTAGGATGTGGTAGCATAGTTGCATAGTTGGTTGAAGCACTATGCTACAAGCCAGAAGGTCGTGGGTTCAAGTCCTGATGAGGTCATTGGATTTTTTTCAATTTACCTAATCCTTCCAGCCGCACTATGGCCCTGGGGTCGACTCAGCCTCTAACAGAAATGAGTACCAGGAATCTTCCTGGGGGGTAAGGGGCGGCCGGCATGTAAGGCTGACAACCTTATTGCCACCTGTGAGCTGACTGTCTGGATAATGTGGGAGCCTCAACGTCTCACAACCCTATGGGCCTGCACGGTCTGTTATATGGATAGCTTTATAAGCTTAGTCATGCTGTTTGTTTGCTGTGATGTATATTAACAATATTGTGGCATGTCTGCATGAGTATTTCTAAATAGAACCTGAGGTGGATCAAAAGTTAGCCATTAGAAAGTGGCTTAACCTGAATTTTTAAAGAATAAGACAGTCATCAATTTAGCAAACTTCTACTGAAATTTTGAGTTGATAAAATTGCTTTACATTTTTCTGTCCTATAGGAATTTCTTATGCTTAAATAGCAAAAAGGAGATTGCATACAAATACATTCAAAATTTAAAATTTAAACTTGGACTGTAAAATGTTAAGATTTTATTGATACAATGTTTTAGTAAAGAGATGTTACTCTTGATGGTTGTCTTGTTCTATAGCAGTTGATGTGAAGTGTAATGCTCAAGCTGCCACAGTGTAAGATAACAAATAACCTTACTTCTACAAACTGTCACATTTGTGACCCATTTTAAACCCATGTTTGTTTGTGGAGAGAAAGTGTTAAAAAAAACCACATTTAAATTTTCTGGGACAAGTTTGGATGAATTGAAAATGGTGTGGCATCTAACTACACACATGTACAGTTATTTCTGCAGGTCACATGGCAGTCCAGAAATGTGTGTACGGGTACCTAATTACTGTAAGTTAAAGAAAATAAAAGTATCCCTGTAACAGGCCGTGGAGGCCCATAGGGTTGTGAGATGTTGAGGCTCCAACATTTTCTAGACAGTCGGCTCATAGATGGTGGCAAGGTTGTCAGCCCTATGTGCCAGCCGCCCCTTATCCCCCAGGAAGATTCCTGGTACTCATTTCTGTTAGAGGCTGAGTCGACCCCAGGGCCATAGTGCGGCTGGAAGGATTAGGTAAATTGAAAAAGTCCAATGATCTCATCAGGACTTGAACCCATGACCTTCTGGCTTGTAGCATAGTGCTTCAACACACTACGCAACTATGCTACCACATCCTAATTACCATACTAATCCAAATATAGAAAAGAGGGGTAACCTTATTTCAGGATCCTTAAAAATTAATTGGGGAGTTCTAATTGCTAATTCTAATAATATCTGTGAAAATACCTAGAGCTCTATTTAAGGTATAAAATTTTGATTTTGTTATTTTTTAATAATATAATTTTTACTTATTTTTGTGTACAACCATCGGAACTAAATGGCATATTCAGTTTTGTCAGAAAAAAACTCTCTTGTCCCCCAGTGATTTTCTCAATGGAAGGGATCCCCTTATGTTGAGACTTACACAGCAGTTAGTGACAAGTGAGGCCAGTAGCCAGTAAATGGGCTGGTGATAGGGTGAGGCTGTGGTTCAGTGAGTACCAGTCACCTGGTGCCATGCTAATTTAGTCTAATCATAAGTCTAATGACAATAATTTACTTAAAAAGGGCATAAAATCCTTTCTATTTAATCACTCTTTTTACTCTGTTGAGGAATTTATGTAATTTTAAATTTTTTAATATGTGTGAGTGTATTATTGTCTCTTGAAATTATAAAGATCTTGTTTTCACTTAATTTTTATAGCTTTGGATACAGTGCTTATTCGGGTAATAGAAATTTTATATGCGGGTTTGTCATATTTTATCTCATTTTTATAGTTGTTTATGGGACGTTGTGATGTGTACACTATTTGTGTATGTAGTTATTTTAGTGTTGGTGATTTATACGCAATAAAACTTAACTTGGTCTATATCTTGAGGTTGTATTGCCAAATATGGATTTATGGAACAAATAAAAATGTGAATATTAATATGAATAATAAAAAGACTAATTTGTTCATCCATTGATTAACTGGCAGTATTGATTTGGATTTTTATGTTATTAAATATTAACTATCCATTTATAATATATGTAAAATGTGTCTTTTTAGGAGCAGACAATGTGAAACTCAAATCTTCTAGTGTGAGTGATCTTCCTTCTAGCAAGAAGGCACTTGGTGATGCTGGGAATAAGATCAAATCATTGCCAGGCACACAGGAGTTAAGGAAGGCATTGCAGACAAATTGTGATCAAGAAAATTCTTTTGTAAAGCCACCGACTAAAACTCCGTTGCCAAATAAGAAACCAGTAGCACTGAATAAACAGACACCAAATTTAAAGTCAACTGTAAGGACGCCACTGTCAGACATAAAAGGAACAGCATCAAAAAAGAATCAGTCAGTGCAGAATCAACAAAATTCACCCATCAAGAACGAAGAAACATATTCCCTCTTTTCTGAAATAAATGCAATTGATAATTTTATTAATGGTGACACTGATGATTTGTCCTGGTTGGAGCTTGATGGTTTAAGTGATTATGAACATATAGGTTTGTATAGCGGGTTGTCCTGTTATAGCATCATTTCTTTCTCCTATGGTTTAACGGAAAAAGTTTTTCTTCAGGCTCTTCTTGGGGGCATGCAGTAGCGTAGTTGGTTGAGACACTATGCTACAAGCCGAAAGGTCGCGGGTTCAAGTCCTGATGAGGTCATTGGATTTTTTTAAATTGACCTAATCCTTCAGGCCGCACTATGGCCCTGGAGTCGACTCAGCCTCTAACAGAAATGAGTACCAGGAATATTCTTGGGAGTAAAGGGCAGCTGGCGCATAGGGCTGACAACCTTGCCGCCATCTATGAGCTGACTGTCTAGAAAATGTGGGAACATCAACTTCTCACAACCCTGTGGGCCTCCAAGGCCTGTTGCAACACTGCGGGCCACAAACACATACAGGACAATATTAAAGAACCCTCTTCTCGAGAACGACAGGGTGGCACACATTCGGCCCCCGTCAAAAGAAATAATAAGAGGGATGACACGGACCAGCTTGGTTTACGAATTCCAATAGAATCTTAACAAACTAACTAGAAATATTTTAAAGTATTGGAATATCTGCTGTAGTTGTAAAGACTTTAGATTTTTACAGCCAATTGTATATTATTTATATTGTATGTATATATTTTAACTTTTAGAACATGTACTGTAATAGTGGTTTCTAACTGTATTGATGTAAAGGTGTCCCTCTGAAGATGGTCTCTGAAAACCGAAACATGTAAAGGTATGAATAATTGAAATAAGAAAGTCAACCAGTCACACTGAACAGAACTATCTAACTTTTTCATAAAACTATTTACTTTCTATGATATTTTTTTAGATTCTTAAATGTTAGAAGCAGGACTGGAAATGGGGATAGACACTGGCAGATGCCAGGTACTTAGTTCCAGAACACTTCATTTTGGGGGAGCTATTTCCAGTTCCTTAAGACATAACTATCGTTCTCAACAACGATACATGTGGGAAGAAATTCACGAGCCTAACTTATAATAATTTCCTTTGTATATGTGTTGGTCATCCCCTCCATCAGATTTTCTGATGGTCTGGAGCATCTTCCTAGTTCTGAAAAAACCATTTATACTCCTGTTTATACATTGTGTCCTGATAAAAGCAATGTGACATTAGAACATATTTTTTCTTTTCATATCTGGATATACATTTCTTGGTATGAAGTAGCAACTCTCACATTTTTTGCCTTAAACCTTGTTATAGCACTTCTTTTGGCTTATTTTGGACTTCATCCATCGTCTAGTATGTAAAAGACAAAAGACCATGACGATTCGGAGACTGGATCTGTCTCTGTCTTCAGGTGGGTAGGGAAGGATAAACCTACTCAGTTGGGCCCATTAGAAAGAGCTAGTCTTAATCACTGGACCACCAGTATACACCATCGTCAGAATCCTTTCAAGTCAACCTTGTTATAGTGTTCTGTGAATATTGATTTGTTTATTTGTTCATCCTTTTCTCTTTAGATGACTATGAGGACATTATACCCAACAGTCTTCGTCCAAGTGACGAAGACATACACCGAATGGTTAATTTCTGGGAAATGGAAACAGAGCCACCTAATATGGAATTTGAATCTGGCCTGCTGCTTCCACTTGTTGAAGAATTAGGTAATGTTTCACTGAATGCTGATACTTGTGTTTCATATATATAGAAAGGAAATCAAACAGTGAAGTCTTCCCAGCAGTCAGCCATGAAGATGGGGTTCATATCCAGTGTTCTGGAGTATTTGCAATGAGTTATGCAGTCTGCCTGACTCTATCCCCTGTTCCCTGGGAGTCCATGCTTGGACACTGCATACACTCACTATGAAAGGTAGGGAAGGATATCACTCACTCACTCACTCACTCACTCACTCACTCATGGAGCTGAGCCCTTCTTGAAAAGCTGCCAATTTTGCAGTTACTCAACAACTTCCCAGCATTTTATGGAACCTGAAGGTTCATTAACATATTCACAAGAGCCCCCCACTGCTCCCTATCCTGAGCCACATAAATCCAATCCATACACATCCCATCCTCTCTCTCTCTCTCTCTAAGATCCATTTTAATATTGTCCATGCACCTACGTCTCGGTCTTCCCAGTGGTCTCCTTCTCTCCGGCTTTCCCACCAATATCCTATATGCATTCCTCTTCTCCCCCCATTTGTGCTACATGCCCTGCCCATCTCATCCTCCTCATAAGTTAGAGATATCTTTTCCAGTAAGCAGTGATGTGAAATGTTATTCTTAAGATAATACTGGTAAAATATTAAGCTTATTCTGTTACTGAATGTGGTGAAGTCTTCCCAAATGATCAGCCACGTCTCCATTGAGTAAAATTCAATGTTTTGGAGACTCCCAGAGTCCATTAACAGAAACTGGTGACTTTTTTTGTCATATGTGTAATTTCTATATCTTCTTTCCTTTTTCTGGTTTTGTATTTGGCTGTTAGGGCATGAATAACAGTTCAGTGTAATTTTCTTTATTTATTATTGGTTAAACTTACAGATTTCTCAGTGTTTTCTTTTTGATCATGTATGGCTATCATATTGATGTTTATATGCTGCATTCCTTTGTCTGCAGATAATGGCTTTGGGCACACATTCATTCCTGATATTTCTGATATTGAATTTGATGAAGACCTAGATCTGGTGCCAGTTCCCTCATTGGATTGACGTTGCCAAGAAGTGGTGTAAAGCAGAATGTTCATGTACCTGAACTTACTGAAATGTGTTTGGAATTGATCTTTCAAATTCTGAGAAGGAATTTAAAAAAATCTTACATGCAATAAATGTTCTTTTTAATGTCTGAGTTACCGTTGTGTGTATTTATGTGTTGTGTTAGATGTTTGGAACGGTGGCGAATATTCTGCTTTGGCTAATAGTGCCATGTTGTGAGGCTGCATTTCTTCATGACCTGCTTCTAAGTCAGGATTCACCACTGATTTGGTATATATAATTCTGACATATGTCTTTATTTAGCAAAATCTGTTTTAGTACATTAATTCACAGGTACATTTTATTGAAGTTTAATAGAGAAGTGTGCAGGATTTAGGGTTCTCATTGCAGTGACTGAAGAGCATGGTGTTTTGGGTTGTAATACCATGTAGTTTGAGGAGGGCTCAGTGTTTCCAGGTATCTTTGAACTATATAGCATTACAACCCAGAAGATCATATTCGCCCTAACACAGTAGTTTAGTTCATAACAGTAGAACTTTTATGAACTTGGCTTGTATAAACAAAAAATGTATGCAGTTTTTAAGATTTAAATGTTTATGGTATTAAATATTTTTTGAGCATTGTTCAGCTCTGTGTTCAAGAATATTTATTGTTTGCCAAAGTGTTAAAATATGTAAATAAAATCATTATACCAGAAAATATGCCTGCAAATTTACATTGATGCCATTCAGTAGTAGTATTGCTGACTGCTCTACAGGATTAAGGAGACAAATTTCTTAAAAAATATTCCCTTTTCCAGCATTGATTTTTTCCCCCCAAAATTCAAGGGAAATGGCCAATATATGACTTGCTTCCACCCCTCACTGGCTCACACAGCATTAGCCCCTTCCCTCTCCCCCTAACACCTGTGAGTCTTGTGGATCATCAACCTATATAAAATAAAAAGTCACATATTGACTTTGAACCTGAAGAAGGGGGCAGCATGTTCCACTTTGAAAATAGCCCATATCTTCTCTGGCTTCATGGCCCTTTTAGTTTAGCCTTAGCCTTCCTTAGAATTACTGCCCATTCTTTTCTTTCTTGAGCTTTTAGTCTCTATCTATTTATACCTAGAGTTTTATGTCAACTTGTACATCATCTAACCACCTTAACTTGGGTATTCCAACTCTGTCTCCGCCTTCTGGTTCGGTGTTGAGTATCATTTCTGGTATACCAGTATCTTCCAATCTGATGATGTGCCCCAGCCATTTCAATCTTCCAATTTTGATTTCAGTCACAATATTTGGGTACTTATATGCATTTTGTAGTTCCAGATTGCCCCTTAATCTCTACACTCCTTGTTCACATTTTGGACTGCAAATTTTCCCTAAAATCTTTCTTTCCAAGGTCATCAGCCTACATATACATGGTGCAAATATCCAAGAGCAGGATCAGCCTTTCATTGAACCCCTCATAAAAGCCTAAATTTATTAATTTAAAGGTTTTGAATGAAATTTCCTGCCATAAATTATTCTTTTTACCCCTAAGTTATATCAAGATATGTTAAATAGCAATGATTATTAATAAATACTTACCAATCATAAGGGTGGCATGGTCTACAGCACATAATGTCTTTCACCTCTGGGTTTGTGGGTTCAAATCTCACTTGGAACATGGATGTTTGTCCAAGTCTTTTATGTGGTATTCTGTGTAGGTAGGGGTGTTGCAATGGGCTGATCCACCATGCAAAGAATCCTATCAATTGTCTAAAAGATTCATACTTTCAAAAATTAATTCTGAATTGCAACAGGCCAGAGAGCCTACTCTTTAATGATGAAGAAAAAGAAGTTCCTGCCAAACAGATGAAATGAAACATCGCAAGATCATTTTATTGTATAAACAATAGTTCTATATTGTCAACAAAGTTCTGGATATAAATATCTATAAAGTGGGCATAAACAATAGAAATCACACTCTGAGAGGAGTGGGTTCTAGGACTTCTAGGAACTGCAGTGGTGGGTTTGAATCTTGCTGGGGTCACAGACATCTTCAGTTATTGTTGTTGTTGCTGTTGTCTTAGCGTATATGGATAGAGGCCTCGTCAAAGTAGCCCTGACAAGTCTCAGATCCTAAGGAATTACAGTTACAGAATTATGAGTAATTCTTAATTACAATGGACCAGAGGATCTAATCCATGAAACTGGAAATATATGTCACCAGTATTTTAGTTGTTAAGTCATAAACAGTAATTGACAATATTTTAATGTCCAGCTGATATTCCTTAAAATATTTTAACACTGAACTGGGATAAACTGTAAAATGATATCAGTAATAATTGAAATTTGCCTTTGTGTTCAAGTCTCCAGGCCAATTGAAATGTAATTAAATCATCGAAAAATCAGAACGAACCTAAGCTTTTGCCCGTGATATACACACACATAATTATGGTTTGGAATGCTGGCCAGCTAGGTAAATATTAATCTATCTATGGCTATACAGCCCTTGTGGACCTTGGCCGCCTTTTCAGTTTCTTAATCTATACAGAGTCAGCATGACTCCTTTGACGGGGGATCAGCCCGTGGCAAGGCCTCAACCAACACACAGAACAACACAGTATAAACGCACACAGACATCCATGCCTTGAGTGGGATTCGAACCCACGATCCAAGTGTTCGAGCGGGGGAAGACAGTTTATGCCTTAGACCGTGTGACCACTGTGATCGGCAAATAAATATTAACACTCCCTTTAATTTCCGTCCAGTATCGTTCGTTAATTTTCTAAATGAGAAGAATTAAAGATCTGACATTTCCGAGTCATAAGTAAACTTATTTTACGCCTGCGTGTCATTTCTTGCTTCTTTGCTGCGTTTTCTGTGACACACTCGTATCGAAGAGTGATATGAGTGCCATCTACTGGTGCTTCTATTACTTCGCTTTCACCTTCAGCACCACGGGATCTGTTGTTGCAGTTCGGGTCGTGTGTTGTGCGTGGAATAAGCATAGCTGCCAGCCCAAATCTATGTCCATCGCGTATAATATTTATATAATTAACTAGTGTCGCGTCATTAGTTTTATGGCAAGTATTTTTGTTTTCTAATAATTCAGTAAAACTAAATAAAACCTTAAGGCTATCAGAAGCCAATTTAACATCGGTCTCTTGCACAGAGGACAGCTGACTTGTACTTCGAGACTGTGAAACTTAATCAGACGAAAGATTGTAAATCGTATAGTCATTGACAAAATTTTACCGACATATTTTTAACTTAAATCTGTTCTTTCATCAGAAATTGTGATATTTTTTAAGAACTTATGCTCTTGCAATAAGCTGATAACCTTGATAAACCGATATGGCCACATAGAATTCTGGATGCTTTTATATATTGAAAATTATTTTGAGATTGCTTGATTACGTGAATGAACATGCCAAATAGCTTCTGAATTATTAGTTTTAGATGCCTAGTTGCCTAAGTTCTCGGCATAAGATTATATTGAGAAAAAATGTAATTGAAACTCAGTGTTAAATTGTAAAATATTTGGCCACGTGCAAAAATTTCGTTAGCGGTCACGTGAATGATATGACGTAATGATGATGGATCTGTAAATTGCTAAATAAATCATAACACTTCCACAATAATTATCGTCAGAGAATCGCATGTGTTTATATAATGGTAATTATGTGTATAGAGAATCGCTGAAAGAAAAAAAGAAGGTTCAGTTAGTTGAGTTCGAAGTTACCCATTTGATTGACATTTGACGGTCACTGCAATCTGTGCTTTGTGTTCGTACACAACGACATCACAGCTTGTGTGGGATGAGTAATGGCAGAGAAGGCAGATACAGAATATAACATGAGAGCACTGCATCATTTTTGTGCGTTCTTTGCACGGTATGCGTAAAGTGAACGCTTAATAGGGTAGTTGTGTGTATATCGAACTGATTTAGATTAATGATATAGAGTTTTATTTACATGATGCTGACATTCGTCCTTCAGATATTTCTCGGATAACCCAATCTCAGTAGCCGAGAAACTGCTATGTTCGCAGCTTCATAATTTGAAGACCATTCAGTATTATAGCACACACCGTCCGTCCCAGTTTTAGACAAATTAAAAATTATACTTTAGCTGACATCCGCGATGTCGATGTGCAATACGAACATTCATTTGACTGGTACTGAAAATTGTACTTGGAATATTAATTTTTATGGCTAGGGGATGGGGTTGTATCAATTTTGAAATGTAAATTATGAAATATATAGGTACAAAACATATATTTCTCCTGGAAATCCTTTGTTGAATTCAGAATATATACTCTGTAGTATCACACAATGTTATATTTCTTTGTGAAGTTCTGAATACGCTTAATTGAAAATTCTCCTTCGTTATTGTTCCAATTTGAAAAGTTTAATCAAATTTGGTTTCTGTAATTCGTAGATTTGGGGGTGGGGGAATGTTTCATCATATTGACTACGTCAAAGTATTACTTATTTTCTGTCTCTCTTAAACATTTATTTGACGATTAGTTTTGTGTTTATTCTTTGTATTCTATTTTCCTCTTTTTTTGTTGTTGCGAAATTTTGTTTATAAATTTAGCTGTAGTTTTTCTTCCTGTTTAATTTTATTAAAGTTTATGCCGCCAATATTTATGTAACTAACGAATACAGAAAATCAACTTTGAGTCCTTTAATAATTTCCCAAAAACTCTCTTGCACGTTTACGTAATATAAATATACCATGCATATCAAAGAACGGGTTATCTTAGCGTTAACGCTCTATATCTCGTACTCGGAAGGTCCTCGGTTCGATTTTTTAAGGTTTTTCTCAGTCCTTCCAGACCTGTTAGGATAGTACAGAGATTAGAGACGACCACTACCTTCAAAGCCATTTGCAATACATCAACCATCATACCATTCAATTCTGTAAAGCGAGGGTGCCGTAAAACAGCTCACAGAAATCGTACTTAAAGAACACTGAAGTTAAATAAGCATATTTTTGACTGAAGACAAAAGCGTATCAATAAATATCGATAGATTCTTGATTCATTTGTTACAATACCCTTACACTTCATGAGAAAACAGTATGTGAAGCGCAATATAGAAAATCTGTAGGCTAATATCTCGGTGGCAGGCAGGGTGCCAGATATAAAGATTTGTGAGGTTATGTTCAATGTATGCATAATATTTCAGAAACTTTTGAAGCTGAAGTTTGTGTTGTTTTGTGTCTGGAACACGGAAGGATTTGTGTAGTGGCTGTAACTGATATTTGAGAAACAGAAGACCGTATTCAGTGACAATAACCTCTGCAGTGAACACACGGATCTGTGACAAAATGGTAGCAGTGAAGACGCCATGGACTGCGTAGTGTCATAAACGAGGTTCCATCAGATGGAAAATTAATAAGGTAGGCCATTAAATTCGTGTTATTTATATTCTATAATTCTGGCCCAATTTACTTGCAGATCTTGAAAATATTACTAATTACACGTATTTTTTCATTCCACTATATTTGGGTGTTTTCTATAGCAAATACTTAACCCAGAGATTCTTGAGAATAAATACAGAAGGAAAGAAATTGTCACGTATTCAGTTTGAGGTTATCACACCAATGGCTATGAATATGACTCTGCATATTCTGATGGAAGTTTACCGACGTTTCAGAGGAACGTACAGCCTTCATCCCCAGAGTAAGATGCGTAAGCTAACAAACA